TGGACCATTTCTGGTAAAGCGTGGGAGAGTCGTCGAGAAACGATACGGTTGTATATTTACCTGTTTGTCCATGAGGGCAGTACACCTAGAGGTCGCATACACTCTAGACACCGACTCTTTCCTTTCTGCGTTTTCCTTTCTGCATTTTCTCGGTTTGTCGCAAGACGAGGATGCCCTAATGTGGTCTACAGCGACAACGGTACGAATTTTCGAGGTGCTGAAATAGACCTGAAGCGATGTTTAAAGGCCTGGAACCAAAACAAAATTCTCAAGTCTATTAGTAACAGAAGTTGCGAATGGCATTTCACTCCACCTAAGGCGAGCCATCGAGGAGGTATATGGGAACGTATGATACGATCTGTCCGCCGCATCCTACTTTCCCTCCTGGCTGACCAGTTGGTTGTGGACGAAGTGTTGGTGACGATGTTTTGTGAGGTGGAACGGATCCTCAATGACCGTCCTCTAACAAGAATGTCAGACGATACGGAAGACTTTGCTGCAATAACGCCCAATCACCTGCTACTCCTACGAGGTATACCAGCAACATTCCCCTGTGATGTGCCAAGTACCCGATTGAACCGAAGGTGGCGTCAAGTTCAGCAGTTGGCCGATACTTTCTGGGTGCGATTGCTCAGGGATTATTTACCTACACTACAGTTGAGGTCTAAGTGGACAAGGGAACGCCAGGATTTGAAGGTAAGTGACTTAGTTCTCTTAGCTGACGCTCATGTGCGAATGAGATATACTACAGTTTTATCGTTTTATGTACTTTTATGAATTTTAAAACTTTGGGCATGCCCACGATTCATGAAGTCTCTGATTAAAAGAACCGATCAGGGTCAGCGTGATCTGATGGGGAATTTCAAATACTGCACATTTTGAGGACAATGGAATGACGCTAGAACTCCAGTCAATATTTTTGGATCAACTGACGTAGATGTGCCCGGAGGTGAATGTTGGGTGACAGCGTGAGTAGTAGACGATATGAATGGTCAGGGTTCGCCAGTATTTGATACACCAAAATCAAGCTACCTCACATAAGGCTTATAATGCTGTCTCTTGAGTATAATAATGATCACTCTTTATGAACTTTTCAAATTCTTACAATCGCGTTACAGGCTTGATTGACGTACTCAATGTGGTGTCGAATATAAGCTGATAACAGACATGGAATAGCATTGGATCAAATTTATCAAAGGCGTGCCTAAGCAGACTAATATGCCCGAGAGCTAAGGACGCCGCCTTGGAGCAGTTAGCCGAACAGCTTAGGTCGCTTTGAGCTATGATACCAAGATCCTCATCCGAGACATGTGGATGCTCCACTTTTGGAAGCACTATCGTTGGGACTAAATTTCTGTTGCCCATCCAGTAGAAACAACCAATTAAGGTTTGAAGTGCAATTTGAAAATCTTTACTCTCAAACGGGGTTACTGACGGCAACAACACAAGAGGTAGCGGATGATTTCAAATCTACACTCGTCGAATGTTCGTATCAGTACCATAGGACTGGAAGACCCAATAGAAGTCTATTAACCAAGGAGCACTAAGAAGAATCAGGGGAAACATTATCATTGCCAGACCGGACAAGGGTTTGAGAGTCGTATTATTAAATCGATCTGATTATGTCGATGCGATTAATCGGATTTTGAGCGACCACCAAAAATTTAGAAAGGATAAAGGGGAAAATGATCGAAGGTAGAGGAAGAACAACTTACAGTATCCTTGAAAATGCTCAAAATTGTTTTCCCAAATGAACGTTTGACCAACGGGCACGTCTGTCCCGCGACTCTACGGTCCACCCGAAAGTACGTAACTCATATGTCCCATTGAGGCCAATATTAGACATGAGTACATCGCCTTATCATTAGGTTGCTCGCTGGCTTGTGAATGTACTGGAACCGGTGTGGAGAAGTATCGTACGATGCAGTCTAAAAGATACATTCGAATTCATAAACATGATTAAGGCGAAGAACATAGACGAATACGGATGGCTTCCTCGGATGTGACTTCATTGTTTACAAACGTGCCACTTTTGGAAACCATAACATACGTAGTGGACTATTTTAGAGGGAATGGGATCAACCTTGACATCCCAGTGGATAATTTTAGAGTTATTATTGCGTTGCGCATACACCATCCAGTTCGACTCTGACGGGGAGATCTATCGTTAAACGGACGGGGTTGCCGTGCGATCACCTCGTGGACCTCTATTAGCTTGATTTAAGATCAATTATGCTAACACCAACCCCGGCTACTTAGATTTGCGGAGACGGTACCAATCAGGAAATGGAAACCTGACTTGTGTATGCAAAAAGAACTGTCGGTTACACTGCCACTGCCTTGGCAGTGGTAAAGGTGTGATGATTCGTCCCTATCGTATTCTTGTGTAACCTGATGTACTGTTCAACGATATAAACTGTAGTTCTCTGCCGTATTGTACCAGTTGAGATCCAGCGGGATTTACCTTGGCGTAAATCGTGCGACCTAGCATTATTGTGCTCTCTCTTCAAGGATCACAGTTTGTCCAAAGCCTTCAGTAGCATCGGTTTCTGAGTCGCTTTAACTGTGATGTGGGACTAACAGTACTGACAGATTCAGATGTTCCGAGCTCCTCTAGCTTTTTCTCGTTTGAAAAGGTAAATCTATATTAAGAGTAACGTCAAGTAGCCTACGTTAGTCATTCGTTCGCGTATAGAGGTGTTTGAAATTAGTTGCTATCCAGTTTGATAAACTTGACTGTGGTGTGTTTTTATTTATCTACCACTCAACCCGTTGCTCACAGTAACCGTTCTCGGTACTCCGTTCACGAGGCGTTTTGTCCAGCTACATAATTGTGCTCACGGATATCAGATTATTTTGGCTGAATATGTCATTTTCGAGCACTAAGTTCATCAAGCGTTGTATCTGTTCTGCAAAGCAACTTTATCGCTTGTGTTTACATCGTCTAACTTTCTTTCCTTGCAATTATACCTCTACTTCAGCATCTGGTCACATCCGACAGTCGCTCGATTGGGTATTGTAAGTGTTGTGATCGGCGGCATTTGCGCACTTGCTTACATGGGCTATCTAGCCTTTCTGGTTATTCGTGCCTTGATACAAATTTTGAATAAGCGTCGATTGTTGGCTAACTTGCCGACCGAGCAGAAACGCTACTATACCGGAGTGATCTATCGATTCACCGCTCTGCTTACGTACACACTTATCTGTGCCGCGTTGACTGTGGCTTTCTTCATTTTCAACCGGGTAAGTTATTTTTCGTTCCTTCTTTCGCAGTCGTCATTCGAGTCGCACTGATTCAGGTTATCGGTAGTGCTTGTCTTAGTTACAAACTGT